CGTACGCAATAATAACAGGGCCCGCCGTAGTACCTGACGAAGTGGCACTACGTGGATCCCCGCAGTCGCCAGACTGCTCTGCGTGGAGGGCATACGCAGGGAGTTGAGGGGTGATGGCACATGCAAAAAAGAGCTGGACTCACCATCTCCCGCAGTGGTATCGCTGCAATCGCAACACAAGCAATCAAGAGATAAATATGCGGGTTCAAGAAGACGCGCCGTCCTCAACAGAGCCCACTCCCTTCACACGTTCTTTCCATGGGCTGCTAATAGAATAACTTCAAGCTTCCTTATTTTTTTTCTTCTTTGTTAGGGAATAGTAACAAAATCAAAACGTGTATGCCATTCCATCTCCTCCACTCCTTATATATATACATATATGTATATATATGCATTGAAGTGTGAATCATTTAAAGGGTGACGAAAAAAGACAAAGTACCACATTTTTTTTTTTAGCTTGGTTTGTTTTCTCTTCTTTGCCTGATTATTTTTGCTTTAGTTTTGCATCCCGTAGGACCCATCTTGCAAAGTGCAACTTCGTTTCCATGATGGCACGAAATACCTGTTCCTCGTTGATTTCATCAAGTTTTCCCAAAAGCTCTGCACACTTTTTTAGGTCCCCCCGTTTAAAGGCCAAACTGGCCTCCTCATAGAACATCCAGGGAGTAATCCACGACAGCGTGCAACCCCGTCCCTTATATTCACGCGCCGCCCGTATGCCTTCTTGAAGAAGACTGCAAACACTCTCCTCCTGGCCAGGCACATGAGAGAGAATCACCGCCTTCATAGCCAACAGTACGGCACTGCGTTGCTTCCACTCGGCACTGCTTGTTATGGAGAAGCTTTGAGTGTAGCTCAAACTCTCAGCACCGCCTCTCGGCGTTTGAGAAGGACTAGACGCCTTGAATCCCAGCTCATCATCAATCATCCTAACAAACACCTCCAGGTAGGAGAGTGGTAGCTGATGCATAATGTCAAAAAGGACAAGTAACTCCAGCATGGGCAACGGCACAACATTTCGAAGCACAACGTTGTTTGAAGGAGAAGATACTGATAGGGTAAGCTTTGCCTTATTTCCTGGGTTGGGATATGGTATACCGGCCTGGCGGAATATATCATTTAACCTGTGTGCAACAAAGGACTCAATTGTAACAGTCCTACCACCCATTACTGTCACCTTGTGGTGTGCGGCACGCCAATAGGCTGCGGTTGCGTTTTCCCTGTAATAAAGCGCCTCAGATTCAGTTACCTCCCCTGTGTTTCTTAACAGCATCTCGTAGGCGCAGCCTTGTGCGTAAGCGTAGAATATCTTTGACCAGGCTGAGTTTGCCTCTAGCGAGGCATAATTTTTAATGCAGTCTTCCCAACGCAATGATGCAGCGTAGTTCCATGTCTGATCGTATACAGCAAAATCCCGTAACTGTGGCATGGATGTCGCAATCTGTCCTCTATCTGCCACTTCAAGGCACTTGGAAAGAAGTGCAATGCTTTCATCCATGTTAAAATGAAGACGACTAATGCGACCCATCAACCACAGGTGAATGAGCGAGTCGGCGGTGAGTTGTCGTTGAATCGCCTCCTTTGCGGTTTCGTTTGCAACAGGCAGTAGCAGTGGAGTAGTCAGGGAACAAAATCCGGAGATAAAACTGTTGACTGCCATAATAAAAAGGCCCGCAAGAGGTGAAATCAACGTTTGACTTCGCCAACACTCAGATATCAGACCCATTCCAAGTTCTCGATCGTGGGTAAAGCCCAAAAAGTTGAGAATACGCAACACACGAGGCGGAAGCATGGAGATAACAACATTAATGCAACCAAAACCAGTCAGTGCATTGTGTACACTGTTTCTATCCAGTCCAATGTCATCGTACGAACTAGCTTTTTTCTCATCCTTCCGTTCGTCCAATTCGTTTGTCAAGGACTTAAATAAAGAATAGCTTTTATTAAGAGCCATACCGCCTTTTACAATACCAGAAATGGAATTATGCTGTAGCAGTAGAATAAAGCCTCTAAGGACAAGGGCATCTGCAAGGATGGCCTTGGCGCGGAACTCGCCCGGCAAAAGTCTCTTTCGTGAACCACTCCTCCGCAAGGTATTCGCCAATTTGTCAAAAAAAGCTTTCTCCGACGAAATCAGCTCCTCCGCAAAGGTAATTGTGTATGACAGTTTCTCCACAGCTATTTCCATGTCGTTTTTTGCCAGTGACAGCATCGCCTTTATTGTGCTGATTACGGACGCCCCAAGCGCATGAAGAGGATCAAACGCCGCATACCTTCCAAAGAGTTTCTCCGAGTCCTGCACCCGATTGTTAAAAAATAAAGATATCCCATACTCCACATCCTTATCACCCTTCACTATCTGTTCTATCGTTGCTTCACGCAATGCCTTCAACCCGCCTTTGGATAGTGAGTGGTGCCGTTTCTTTGATGTGTGAATATCATCCTCGTCTTCGGCAGCCCATTCGAGCGATTCGGCACTACTCAACGTATTCATTCGCTGTTGTCAGTAACAAATAATAATAATAAAACAGACTACGAAACAAACAACCAAAATACAGTAGCACACACATACAAACACATATTCAAAACAAATTCAAAAAAAAAAACCTTACTTCTTGGAAAAGAAATAACGCACCACGCAAAACAGAAAAACTACATACACGCACAGCACATTACACAACACATTTAGTAACAACGATACACAAAAGTGGAAGGAAAAAAAATGTTTATCAACAAATCGTCCTGTAATTCTATAAAATTGTATGCAGAAATAACCCCACTCCAAGCTTTATGCCACCTATTTTGTCATCTCCGCGGTCCACCAATTCCTTCTAACGTTATTTCACAATGCTGCCAATACCGCATGTCTCTTCTTACTTTTCTCCCTTTTCTCTCGCTCACTGGTCAAACTTCATGGCCAATTCGTTGTGGTCTCGCAGCTCGTGACAGTTACACCTGTGGAACACATCCCGCGCACACGCTGCGCCTCACCAGCGGAGGAAAGACCAAACCAGTGCAGTACCGTCGGGGCAACGTCGGCTAGAGTTGCCTCCTCAGCTATGGGACCGAAACGCACAAGCCCTCCTCGCGCATACGCCGCCATCACCAACGGGACCTTTTCCAGACCACCACCACCCGCACCAACCAGCATCAGTAGCCAGCTCTCCTTCGTCGTGCTAGAGCGTTCACTAACGGCAAGCGCAAGCTTCCCCAGCGTGCCGTCCATGATGCTGATGTCACTCATGGAAGCCATGCGTTCCTCGTCCGTTGTGGCCGGGCCACTTAGGACGTTTGCGTGCGCATACAGAAGGTCG